CCCAGGGACATGACTTCATACTCCAGGGCTCTACCCTATATTCTAATCTAATCTTGAGAGCCCTATTCATGTTAATGAAAAGGAGCAGAGTGAAACCAACAGCTGATGATTAACCAAAGTTAAAATTCCTGTTTGCTTTGTTTAAGGTCTGACGGAATAAATATGAACGATGAAGAGTAAGTTAGATCATTAATTGGAAAAAATAATTCTGAAGCATTAACGCAAGTAAACAAAAATGCAAAAGAAAAAAGATTTTTAACTTAACATTACTCTAAGGATTTCAAGTTGTTTTAATTGGTGATGGTTCTTTTGATATGGGGATAGTTTGGCCAAACAAGCCAGCCTAGTTTTCAAATGCCATATTTTTTTCTTTCAAACTATGTTTTCCAAAACAATATAGTCAAGACCATGTTAGTACCAAAGGGCTTCTATACACATGCAGGGAGCAGACTCAATTAATCAAGTCTGCTGGAGCGTGGAAATTACTGTACTCCAACAGCTTCCAGCCTCATGTGTAGCAGTGTCCCTGCACTGAAAAATGGCATTGGGGCACTTTGAACTAAAGCTTGTTGAATGAGCTTCAGTTCAAAACACCCTGCTGCTGTTTTTCAGTGTGGGGACCCTGATACATGTGATGCTGTGGGTGCCTTGAATTAGCATAGCTCTTGGAGCTGTGCTAATTAAAGCACCCCTCCCCCCCATGCCTCCTGGAGCACGTGTATAAACACCCGAGTTTTTCAAAATGAGTTAGATCTTCATCTTAAACAAGATATTCTGTAATACATTTGTAATTAGATTTTCTTTCAATGTTGTTGACAGTATTGGGGTCTAATTATGCTAATGCACATATATAGCTTTACAGTAGTCACCTGCAATGGGACTCTATTTATACATAATTGTTTACAGGATTGGAGACTTACTCTTTCTCTGATGTAGGAGACCTTCAATTGAATTAACAGATTTTGGTGAAAATCCTCAAAAACAGAGACTAAAAAAAATATAGCGTAGATTTTTGGATTTCAGTTTGGGTGTTAGCGCTGAAAAATATGTTAGAGCCAACATCATACAAAAATAAATAGCAAGTTCTCTTGAATTTTGCTTTTATTAAACACAGTGTAATAAAATACAGTATGTGACACTGGTACTTTATTTTTATAAAGTTTTTGTTCTTCTTTGTAACCCTTTTGTTTTTCTGTTACTGGCTGTGGTAAATGTGATTTTTGGGCATACCTGTTCAGCAGAGTGGGGGACCAACCAGCTCACAGAAACCCAGGGTGTTTCTCTGGGAGCATCCGAACACCTTAGGGTTTTGTCACAGACATATCTTCCGCTGTTTAAAGATATATTTATATCCAAGAAGGTAAAAAAATCACATATGGAAACACAATGTGAAATTGCCTTAAATTAACAGAAATTGTTGCTCTGAGTTCCCAAGAGCATTGCCATGTCTTATGCTACAGCATAGTCCCTATGATGGCTGTGATGTGATGAGAATTCTGGAGCATCTAAGAGAAGCAGGAATAAACATAATGTTGAGGTAGCTTAAATGAAGAAGTCCAAAGTGTGTTTAATTTCCCTGTTACTTTTTGTACTTGAAGCATTATCAATTGTATTGAAATTGTGGGCAATATTGAAACACATTTTCATTTTTAACATGGTATATATATATTTATAGTCATCTTTGCTATAGTTACAGATTTGTACAAATATTGGGTTTTGAGTTATTTTGAACAATAAACAATATATAACTATTCAGAAACTGCTTGTCAAGTTCGTTTTGTTTTTTTTAATGAAGATGCTGACTAATTTACAAACAACACATTCAGAAAAGAAATTTCATTAAAAAGTTTAAAGAATGAACAATCCTTTTCTCCTACATAATTTTTGATCTGTGTTTTTGATTTCCTCTGTTCTTAAACAGATAGGTGGTTGAAATCTGCATATTTAGCAAGTCCAGTTGACTAACATCCTTTCACCATAATATGATCCACAGAATACTCAATGTTTGGGCATTTTGGTTTGCCGGGTAGGATAATGGGCTTACAAATTTTGGAGGCATGAGAAGATATAAAACTACAAAACTGGAGTAGTAAAAGACAGGGGTTTTTTGTTTTTCTTTTTAAGGTAATAAGAGATGGCCGGGAAAAAGTTTCCAAGATGATAAACCTAACCTGACAATAACTTGGTGGATTGCTTAGGAATCTGCCTCTCCTTACTCAAAGAAAATATAAGCTGAACTTAGAATGGACGCTGCCACAAAATTTTATTCCTGGTTACTTGGGACAAATGGAATATTTTGCTGCCCTAGTGAGAACAAATATGTGGAAATTGCATGGTGAAAGGTTCCAAGGGACAACGGAGGTAGTGGCGTTCTATGCAGTCTGTAGCTCTAAAATGTGAGCCAAATTTGAGAGCCAAAAACAAACTTCCAGGACAAGAGTTTAGGCACTCAGGCTCAGATCCAGCAAAACATATACATTAGCCTGTGCTTTATGTAGTATCATCCCCAGAGCGGCCCTGATCAGCTATCTGCTGACTAGCCTCTGAGCGTTCTTGTCACCTGGTAGCTGATTGGGACCACTGGGGCTCCAGCCCTGAGCTGGTCTCTGCTAGGTGGCAGGAGACTGGGAGAGCCCTGTGGCTTGAATCCCAGGGCCATCCAAATCGGCTGATCATTGGCTAGCAGGGACCACCCCAGGATTCCAGTCTTGGGGCAGCCCCTGCCAGGTGATAGGAGATATAGGGGTGGCCCTGGGGTTCAAACCCTGTGGCTATGATGATCAACTTATTGACGGCTAGCAGGCACCACTCCAGGGCTGGAACCCCAGGGTGATCTCTGCCAGCTTACTGCAGATTGGGACTGCGCCAGGACTTGAACCCTTGGGCAGTCCTGATCTGCCAACAGTTAGTTGATCATTCACCTGCTCTGAGTACCACAGGGGGGCTCAAAAGGCCATATGGGTTCCTGAAGCTAACCAACCATCAGCTGGTTGTTAGGCACCCAACCAGCTGGTGCAGGGGGACCCCAGGACCACACAATAGGACATGACTGGGATCTGATGCTAGATCCCACATTTGCACCTTCTGCCATGCACATATGGCATGGGAGGACGTATAATTGTTGGGATCAGGAATCAAATCCTATTATGCCCTGTAATTGCATGTCTGCCAGGATGCAAGTTAGCCATGTACTTTGAGCTTTACCACATTTTGTCAGTAATATGGCATTTGATTGACAATATTTTATGGGCCTATTTAAATAAATCACAGTACCTTTATAGAAAATAATAGAACTTCATGCATCATTTTCACTGATCCTTGAAGTTTAGAAATGTCATAAGATCTTGCATTTTAAGACATTTTAGTTGTGCTCTGACACTTAAGACTACCCTCCGCTCAAAAACACTAATGATGGGGTGTATGAACCTGTCTTTTTTTTGCTCTATGGTATATTCATCAAAATAGTTTCTGCCATATATTCTTGAAACCTTCTGTGTTAAAACGTAGTCATTATTTTAAATTATTTTTATTTTAAGTTTTAATGTGCAAATTAAAGTTTGAAAAGTGACTATAAAATAGGTTGCTCAAGAGATCAACCCTCTTGAATATATTCAGTCGTAGCTACTTAAAGAGCGAAAGACATTTTTTTTCCTCCTATTACCACTATAAAGCTAAAAGCAACTGTAAAAGAAGATTATTCCATTTTGGCCCTACACTATTTAGTCAACCTATCTGGCTCCATAGGCCAAATCCCATCCATGGGGCTGTGTTATCTAGGCTGTATGCTATGCGCAGAGCTGTATCGTTCAGGCCACAGGGCTCCCCCTGGGTCTGGAAGTTTGGCAGCAGGGGAGTTGTGACAGTGTTAATTGCTGCTGTTCTGGGAGCAATAAAATGTTGATATTGGTCCCTTACCACTACGTTTCTGGACCTGTTGGGACTACCGCAGGCCAGATGATGAGGTTCCGCAGGCCAGATCCTGCCTGTGGACTGGAGTTTGAGCACAACTAGCCTATACTATTAAATGAATAGTTAACTAAATTCTACTTATGGAATCTTTATGCTGCAGTAGACAAGCCAGAAAGAATAGATCCCAATGAGCTGATGCTGCCTGTTTACTTCTGAGTGAAGCAGAACTGATTCAAGTCATCGAGAGACAAATATGAAACTTCACAGTGCCATTTTTACAAAGTCACTTTTCAGAATGAAACTCTACTCTAAAAGCATGTTCTTTTTCAGATCATTACTTTGCTGAATTATGAGTTCTCATGTATAACCTAGGTAGCTCTGAATGCTTTCCCTGACGTTTATTAAGCTTTCATACATATTCTGTTTTAGGTTCACCAAAAACCTGTCACCTGACAAGATCAATCTTAGTACACTAAAGGGAGAAGGTCAGTTGACCAATTTAGAATTGGATGAAGAAGTGCTTCAGAACATGCTGGATCTTCCGACATGGCTTGCTATAAACAAGGTCTTTTGCAATAAGGCATCTCTTAGGGTGAGCATTTCATTTTGTCCAAACAATAATTGAGCAAGACTCTCTCCTTTTCCCTTTTATCATGTGCCTCTTTAAAAAAAAAAAAAAAAAAAAAAGTACAAAAACAATGAAAATTATATTAAGTTTTATATTGATATACATTTGCTATGAATTATTCTTAACTGTAGAAAAGGAAAAGGCAGGATGTAGGATGGTGTCTTAATTTTTCTCCATTAGAGGGTAAATAATCTTTATATAAACAATAAACATTCCAGAGGAGATGCCCCCCACCCTCCTCACCTGCTTACCTATACATACCTTTATGTACCTGGCATATGTTCGTTTAAAGTTGCCATGGGATCTGATTCCCTAATCCCAACAATAGTGTCTTGTGCCATGCCACACACACAGTAAGAAGCACAATTTTAGGATTAGTTATCAAAACCCAATCACACCCTTTTTACTTGCCAGTGCAGGGGGAGCCCTGGTGCATAATCCCAGGCTTCTCCTGCACTGGCAAGTCAAAAGCCAGATGTTCACAGCATTGAAAGCCGACATGACCTGGGGCTGTCCCAGGGCCAGAGCTGACAATCAGCCGCCACTAGGTTTGAAGTTGTCAGTGGGGGGCTTTGGCTCTCCCTCTAGGAGCCTCATTTTTCCCCATGCAGGAGTTTTGGTTCAGGGATTAAACTCCTTAGTGGAGGAGCCTATAGGGCAGCCCAAAGACCAGTTGCAGAATCGGGGCTGTCCTTTGGGCTGGTGCAGACAATCAGCTTGTTATTGACATCAGCCCTGAGCCCCATACATTCAATTTAAAGTATCATACAAATCAGCCACAAAATTTCTACATTATAGGTGGAACATTGTTATGGCTGGCTTGTCATTTTATGGTGCCTAAAATAGGGTGCATGTACATGTTAATTGCAGCCTAAAATATAACATGCAGAGGGGCCCTTGGATATAGCCAGAGATGGAAAATGTCCTTGGTTATGTCAGCTATTCTTCTATAAGTGAAGTTGCTGTCTTCTCTAAGGAAGGAAGGCAATAGCCTACCTACACTTTTTCCCTGGACTATGTTAGTATGAGATACCAGTCCAGGATTTGTCTTCAACTAGGGCTATGATCTCCTCCGGTTTTGCCATTACACCTCATTTATCCGTTTCTTTTTGTAATTGGGGCTTGTCTTGATGATCTAAGTACAGGAAATGAAATGATTAGACTTAGACATCCAATGATTTATATGGCAATGTAGTAAATATGAGGTTTTTTGTTTGCTTTCTAAGGACTAATATGGAAAATAGTGTTGGACTTTCCTAACACCTCACAGCACAGTTAAAGGGATGGATTATTTTTTTTGTTCATTTTCCTATTGGCCACCACTAAGTCCCAAATTAAACTGCCTGAAGGATGCATCGTGTGTGTGTGTGTGTGTGTGTGGGGGGGGGGGGGGGTGCTTTTTTTCTAGCT